TGTTTTAGCACCCGGTTCATTGTTTTGTGTAATACTCCGTATGTTTGACCAATGAAAACTCTTAATATATATTAGTAAAAACTTGCTAAAAATATTATTTCAAACATATTTTTTATTGGGATATTATAGTCTAATTTTTAATATTTCAATTCATTATATATTTATATATTTATATAAATAGTTATTCAAACATTTGACAGCAAGGTGAACCAAGATAGTTAATTTAAATTTTTTTAGAATTATTCAAATATACCTATCTGTGTACCATACATAAGTATAGTAGGTAAAGAACACTTTCTATTTTTTTGGATTAAGAATTATATCTTTGCATAAAAAAGTGGTTTAGAGTCATCCATTTTTTTTGAACCACTTCACAATTCATTAACTCATCACAAAAATAAGATCATACAATCCTCAATACTCCTGCCTACTCAATACTACTACCTGGACAGTATATTACTCTTCTTCAGTTTACTACTAATGAAACATCTAATATTGAACATAATACACGAGACACACTCGTCCACCCTCACATCCTCCTTTAGGTGCCACTTAGTATTTCTGGCCTTCCATATGAAGTAGCAGATTGCTGCCCATGCTGCTATCCAAATTCCTTTCTCCCTTCTGGTTCCATGTCTGCTCATCTTGTCATAATATTCGTGGAAACTGGAAGCTTGAATTACACATCCCATGGGTACCATTATCTTACTGTGCAGCTCCTTGTAGAATGGGAGTCATCCATTTTTATGAAATAATTAGTTATGCATATACTTCTCTGAATGAATTTTATTAATTTTATATTTAGGTTAGTGGTTTATGCTAAAGAAAAAGAAAGGGTTTGGTCGCTACATATCTTGAAAAAATGACAATGATTAAACTCTTCATTATTATATGAGGAAATTTAATCTTCTTATTTGACTTTTAACCATCACCATTCTAACATTTTAATCATTATGTCGATATTTATATTTATCCTATCTTATGAAAATTCATATTTCAAAACAATTTTTCAAAAAATATTATTGATATTGCATTTATAGAGAGACAAAAATTATTTTTTTCATATGTCGAGGTCAATATTTACAAAACTTGACCAATAAAATCAAATTAGAAGATTAAATCCGGACAAAATGAGTATTATGGAAGAGTGTTGATACTTGATGAAATTTTATACAATTGAAAAAAACTAAAATTCATATTTGTGACTAACAAAAAAATTTAAAATCAACTTCCATAGAATATAGTTATATGACTTCAAAAAAAAAGAATATAGTTATATCAAGGACGTGATATAGGCCATGTTTTATTCACTTGATTGAATAAATTCTGATTTGATTTGATCTAGTCTGATATGATCTGAATGTAGTTATATTTAAAATTATTTCTTATCTGATTTGATCTGGTTTGATTAGATCCAGTCTGATTTGATCTGATTCAAATAAGAAAAAGTAATCCTTTACTATAATATTTGATTTTCATGTCTCTAAGATGAATACACATAATAGTTTATTTATGAAATAAGGAGTGCTTATAAAGATGAATACACATAATTGTTTTCCTTTACTCGAACATAATAGTTTCATGTCTTTAAGATGAATACACATAATAGACTTCCCGTTGCGCGTTACATAATAGTTTTCCTTTACTGGAACATAATAATTTTCATGTCTCTAAGATGAATACACATAATAGATTTCCTTTACTAGAACATAATTTTTTATGAAAAAAAAATATTATTCCCTCCGTCCATAAATAAACTTCCCGTTGCGCGTTACGATATTTGACTGAAGTTATTTTCAAATCACTTTATATGAAAAATGGTGTAAAATTTAAAAATAAAAATTACATATTAAAAAACTAGAAAAAGATCTACAAAACTAGAGGTGACGTGACTATACTATTTTATGAAATGGGTGAAGAAAATAGGCTAATAAAGTGAATAAAGTTTGACCGTGTGAATTGTGAACGGAAAGTTTATTTGTGGACGGAGGAAGTATAATAAAAAAATAAGAATTGAAAAAATATAATTTATAGTTTAGAGTACCGAATGACACATATATTTTTGAATAGAATATATTAAAATAGTTTTTAGTTCTCCATGTGGTTTGAAAAATATGTATGAATATATCATTTGTTTTAAAAATTTATTTAAAAAATGTCTATCATTTAAAAAGGTTGCACACGCACCACATCGATTTTTATTATTTTTTGTTCACTTTTGCATAAAAATAGAAAAATAAAAAATGAATAAAAAATAAAGCACATTCTTTCCCCTTATGGTTTAGAAAATGAGTACTAACCCCTCACTATCAAACTTCAATTCCACTCTCGTAGCGTGAAATGCAAACAATTGAGTTTCACTAACGGACTCCATACATGAAACTTTTGGAAATCATATAGATTTATAACTAAATTTTGAAAAGAGAGTTGATATTATTGGTCGAGACTTATTTTTCAAATCACAAAGGCAGCAAAGCTATTCTTCCATTTTTTAAAATATAATACTAACAGAAAGTAAAAATATTTCCTTTATCCTTTATATAAAAAAATTCAATTATTAACTCGAGGAGCGCAACATGTGGCATATCTATGTGGCATATTTTTTATACATAAGCTTAAACCTAATTATTGGGTTGAATAAAAAAATAACTTTTATTTCTAAAAAGAAATTTTGACAAAAAGAAAATATAATCTAAAAAACTAGAAAAAAAACTTTATTTTCTAATATAATATTTTCTTCACTTTACTAAGAAAAGAAAATAATTAAATTAGATTATTAAAAATACAAACTAACTGAAACAAAATTATAAAAACACAAATATGGATAAAAAAGTGTCATCGTGGTGCCTGTTTGAGAGATTTTATATTATAAATTTGAATTTTTTGGTTTATTCATTGTATATGCATTTACATGTAAAAATTCCTTATTTCGTATATTTATTTTAATACTAATAATAATGGTAATAATAATAGTAGTAGTAATAATAATAATAATAATAATAATAATAATAATAATAATAATAATAATAATAATAATAATAATAATAATAATATTTAGGGATTCTACCTCCACTCACTTTCAGAGGCTCTAGACGACACTAGCTTCAATAAGAGTACCTACGATGCTGCGTTCACAAAATTGATGGTTCCAACCTCGACATCCCGGTAAACCCTCCCACTCCGGAGCCAGTGGCTGTAGAATTGTTCTGATAAAAGTAATAATAATCTTATTATTATTACTATTGTTAAAAAATTTCACGTAAATAATTTTTAAATCACTATTGAAAGAAATTAAATGATGTTAGATAAAACTAAAAAGAGTAGAGAGAAATTTGAAAAAAGTTGGAAAAAAATTAGAAGAATTAAATTGAGAGAAACTATAAAGTGCTGGAAGATACTAAAAGAAGTTGGTAAGTAATTGAAAAAATTAGAAAATATCAAAAGTTAAGAGTGCATTTGGTTGTGGGTAAATATGTGTTTAGAGAATTATTCTAGGAGAAAATAAGTATCACGAAAAATCATTCTCCACCACATATTTTATTGAAACATTGCTAATATTTGAATAAAAAACAAAGATATTTTGTGATAATTTTAAATATTTTAAGGGGCATAGTTCATCTTTATACACGACTAATTCCAAATTTTTTTATAGTTCTCCATTCTCTAGGGGGCGGGCAGAGGGAGAGGGTGGTCGGGGCGGGGGAGGGGATCGAGGATGGGGGTGGGTGGGAAAATGAACTGGATCGAGAAATTAAAGTATTTAGGGATTCAATTAAAAATGAACTTCCATCCAAAACATACAAAAGTCATTTTCTCCTCTGAGAGAAATTATTTTTCCAAGAAAAATGATTTCTTCCACTTAAGGAACATAAATGGAAAAGTAGAGTTGTAATTTTTCTACAAAATACTTTTCTTTTAACCAAACAGATTCTAAAAAATAGAATCCAAAAGAACATAATCAAAAAAATTGAAGAAAAGTTTTATAATCGACAAAAAGTTTGGTTGGCCCCGTGCATGGTACGGATTAAAATACTAGTAATATAAATTATTAACTTAGATACATTTCTCTCCAATCTAAATTAGGAGGTAAAATAATTGATTCTAAATAAACACAACTTCTCTCCCAAGCCCCAAATGAAAAATCTAGTTTTTGCTTTGTTCTTTATGCCTCAATTGTAAAATAAGACTTTTGTTTAGTTCATGATGTTTGAATGAAGTTATTTTCAAATCAATATAAGTAAAAATTAGTGTAGAATTAAAAAATAAAAATTATAAATTAAAAATAACTTAAACTAGAGAAGGAATTGAAGTCTCACTACATTTCAAGTCCATGCATATTATAGGTGTTCGTTAATTTTAATTTTCTTTAATAATTTTGATGATATTGTAATTTTATAAAGGTTTATTAATTTAAATACTAATGATATTATTTGCCCCATATTTAATAAATACTTGAGAACTAAAGAATCTCAAATTTATTTTATTTTATCAAATAATTGATGAAAAATATATAAAGAAGGTGAATTTAGGTTGACATGTTACAGTATGTAAGAGTTTTTTTTGGGATGGAAGGAGTACAAAAAAGTCGTAGATGAGAATAACGGAAAGTCGAAGAGTTTAGGAAGATGAAAATAGAGATGACGATAGAATGAAGAGCAAATTAGGTGAGAGATATCTTTCTTTCCTCTCCTCCAACTAAACAAGGTGAAGATATAACATATCATCCCTTCACATTTCCTCGCATCTCTCCCCTCCCACCAAACCAAATAGGCCTTTATAGTACTAGGAAGTAGGAATTGAAGTGTTGGGGTTTATTTAAAAAAAAATGCTCGCATTAGGAACAAAATATTGTATCTATTTTAAAATAAGAATGATATGTTTATATTCCCAAAATTTGATTGTTGCATTGTAACAATGTGGTATCGTATATTAGAACTTCAATTATTTTTTAATATTATACGTTGGTAATATTGACATTGTAGATCTACTTTGATAAAAACGGGAATGTGAGAGGGAGTGAAATGTATCTGGACTCTACAGTCCATTCTAGCTACGACAGGGGTAAAATCGGTGGTGCCCTAGGGCAGGGTACCTTCCGTGCTGGGCATTACAATGGACCTTTGTAGTAGCATCTAGGGCTAAACCCCCAATCGACCTCGTCTCTCCTCTTCCCTTCCACCCAACCAACTGCCCCGAAATTGACAAAAACCCAGTGATTGCAACTAAAGACTCTTGAAATCTGCAATCTCATCGCGATATATAGGTTCGTAATCGAACAACAGCCGCCGCTGTATTATGCCCGCAATGGAGCTGTCAAATTCGAACGATAATCCTGCTGAACAGTTCAAAATCGAAGCCAATGAAGCCTTCAAAGGTACTGTGTATAATGGATTCCCAGCACCTTCGTAATTGACAGGGAACTTTGTATTTGTACTTACCATGATTATTATTAATTTTGAAATTATAGCACATAAGTATTCGCATGCAATTGATCTCTATACACGAGCGATAGAGCTGGCCCCTGAGAATGCCGTTTACTGGGCTAACCGTGCTTTTGCTCACACGAAATTGGAGGAGTATGGTAGCGCTATACAGGATGCTACTAAGGCTATTGAGATTAACCCTAGATATTCCAAGGTATGTTTTGATACTAGGAAGAGCAGAAGGAGTTCAAATTTTAACTGGTAGATTATGTTTTGTTGTTCAAAGATCATATTTTTCTTGGATCTTGACTGAATTTGCAGGGTTATTATAGACGTGGAGCTGCATATTTAGCAATGGGGAAGTTTAAAGATGCACTCAAGGACTTTCAGCAGGTATTTTATATTTCTTTGATTATTTTGTCTGGATACTAGTTGATTTGTATAATGTGCTTCATGCTTGTCTGGAACTATTTTGATGTATTCTAATGATGCCTCAATTTATAAAACTGAAGTTTCTTTGGAATTAATTAAAGTGATCCTTTAATCAATGCAATAAGTTAATTCAGCTACCTCCATTGGGCTAATTTTCAATTGCTTTCTGTTTTATTTCCTTGGTGATTTAGGTCAAGAAAATATGTCCCAACGACCCTGATGCTACAAAGAAATTGAAAGAGTGTGAGAAAGCAGTGATGAAGCTCAAGTTTGAAGATGCAATTTCAGCCCCTCAATCTGAACGGCGCTCAGTTGCTGATTTCATTGACTACCGTTCCATAGGTGTGGTAGCCATTTGACATTCACTCACACACACACACACACACACCGTTCGTCCCAAAATAATTTTCCCATTGTAGTTTAAGATGTTTGACCAAAGAAAGTGAAATTGTGTGATTGAAAGTGATGCATAGGAGAGAGAAGTTTTTATAGACGAAAAAGGAATGTGAAACCTTTTTATGGGATGAAGGGATTATATATTCAAAAAATAAAAATCACATCAAAAGTTCTACGAAACAAGGCGACATGATTATATTGTTTTATCAAATGAGTAAAGAAAGTAGGCAAAGAAAGTGGATAAAATATGACCCTGTAAATAGTGAACGTGAAGTTTATTATTGGACAGAGATAGTACATATATGTGAACGTTTGATGTTTATTCCTTCAAATTCAATGAGTTTTTTGGTGTGCTCCATGATGCCAAACACGAGGCTTGACCATTAAGCCTACTTTTGTGTCATCTTTAACCTCATCATTACTTTGTGAAGGGAAGGGTAGTTACCAACTCTTAAAAGATCTCCACCACTATATATATTTACATATGCATATTTTCCATCTGAGTTCATTACTACTCACTACTCATTGAACATAGTCTATCTATGAAGTGTAAACTTTTTCAGTCTTCTGGAGTTCTATGAGTACCAAAGAGTAAATATTTATATTACAATATTTGGGTTGATATGGGTGTAGACTCCAATGGCATCCTAGAAAATACTTGTAAATTATGCAATCTAGCTGGGTGAGATAACATGCTTGTGCCAACATCATACCATACCCACGAAATAAGACACGTCAACCCGAAGGATGTTTCGATCTTTGGGTCATGTGCTGGATGTCTTGTTTGTACTAAAGCTTGTTTAGTAATTAGCCAACAATTTGATGAATTTAATAGGACAATAATGCTCCATTTAGACTATAGGCTTGTTCTCTTCACCTGATTTGAATGATTCTGATATGATTGAAAATAAGTTCTTATCTGATTTGGTCTGATCTGAACTAATTCCAATGAGAATAAGTAATAAGTATTAAGTAATAATAATAAGCTGAAGTGAACATGCTCTATGCCTTTCTAGATATACTAATGGAAACTATTTTAAATAATGGAGAGTTTTCAAATCCGAATTTGATGTTTATCTTCAATCTATCATTTGTCTTTGTTTTGGTGTAGGCACAGTAAAGCCTTTAATTTCTGAACAAGCTTAATTGGAACAAGCTTAGTTTTCTACCAAAAAATCCAAGTGTGGTGTTATTTTCAGGAATTCACCATGTTTACTTTTTTTTTTTTTTTAATTTACACATGCAGAAGTAGAGCCAAAGTATACAGGTGCAAGGATAGAGGGAGACATTGTAACTTTAGATTTTGTGAAGGCAATGATGGAAGATTTCAAAAACCAGAAGAACTTACACAAAAGGTGTTGTTACTATTTATCAAGGTCTATTTTTCTCTAAATATGAAGTATTTATACTCTGTATGTCACCTCTAACCTTATATTTTATTGGTTAGGTATGCGTACCAAATTGTGTTGCAGACAAGAGAAATGCTCCGATCATTGCCCTCACTTGTTGACATCAGTGTTCCTGAAGGGAAGCATTTCACTGTATGTGGTGATGTACATGGTCAGGTAAAGCTATTGTTTTAGATTGGTGCACTAGTTTATCACAAAGTCACAAACTCATGGTGCTTCTTCATCTTTATCTAACCATCATGGTGCATTCCTCACATTTTCCCTTTAGTAAAATCTGCTTCTAATGGCTATGGCTGAGGATGGGTTTTCTTTTCTTAAACATCTGATCCACATTTCTTATCTACTAAATCGGATAATAATTAACTCTCCTAGGTTTTCGTTAGAGTTAATTAGACACCCCAAGTCCCAACTGTCTTTAATATTATTGAGCCCCCTCTCCTGTTTTTGTTTCACCAATCCACCTTTTTAAGTGCATTTTTATTCTTAAAATGACTCCTCTGTGAACCCTTTTTTTCATTCCTAAATAAATGCAATAGTAGAATAAATTTAAAAAAAAGTTGAAATTAATTTCTAGAAAATAAAAAAAATATTTTATTTCTAAATATAAGAACTAAATTTTTTATTTCAGAAATTCAGTTTTTTTAAAATCAAATTTTATTGAACCATTGATTTCACTATTGTTTTTCTAAATGTAGTGAATTGCTTACCCGAGTATTTTACTGATACATCTATTTAGAAATATTAGTATTATTTTTTTAATTTTAGGGAGGGGCTGTTTTATGAATAAATATTACAAAAAATGGGAGGTGGATTTGTGAAACTAAAACAGGAGAGGGGCCTCAGTAATATAACAGAAAGTTGGGTGGTTAGATAACTTAAACAAAAACCTCAGGGGTGGGGGTGGTTATTTTATAATTGTCCACTAAAGGTATGTGCTACAATGTTATAGGGCAGTGAAAATTTATTTGCAATCATTGCGTTTTATTTTACGGGAAGATATAAAGATTTGTTTTTCCCGAAAAAAATCACTCCAAAGATGCATCTGATCCGCTACACTAATCAAAGATATATTGATGCAAATGGGGTTTTGGCACCCACCATTAGATTAGTTAGCAGATCAAAGGCAGATCAGCGGATGGAGGCCAAATCCACTCTGCATCCACAACATTTACCTCGCATTCACCCTACTTTTGGCTAATTAACATGCATAGAGATATAGAATATTGCACGCCCACATGCTTAGACCGTAGCCATACATAGTTGCAGCTACAACTTTAGTCTTGAAAAGCTAACATCTTTTTCAACAATATTAACTTGAGATGAATAGACAGAAGGATAGGCATTTGGAGTTCCCCGAACAACTACAACCATGCCTTAATCCCAAATCACATGGTCTATTGTATGGCCCAACTTGTAATTTCCTCAAATCATGTCACTCTTTCATGTCTTCATATTTTTCATTTTTTGCCATACAGCCCTTCTTCATTTTTCATTTTGCACAAAAAACTGCTGCTCCTGTGTTTGTGTATTAAGGCATTTGGATGACTTGTTTCCTTACCTTCTAAATACTCCCTCCATCTTTGAATGGATTTTACACTCTTTTTTTTTGGACGTCTAAAAATAAACTTTACACTTCTCTCCTTTCTCTTTTAAAAAATAAATATATGGGTATTGTTTATTCTTTCTCTTCCAAATAAATTTCAACCACACACTTTTCACCAAACACATTTCACTTTTCTTAAACTCGGTGAAGTCAAATCGTAAGGTTCATTCAAAGACGGAGGGAGTATATTTCTTTGAGCTCAATGGTTTATCTGAAGGGAACATTTGTCTCTTCAGTTTTGATTTTGTTTGTAAATGATGTTTATCTGCATTGCTGTTTTTTTCTGATTTGTATTGTCTTGGGTTGCAGTTCTATGACCTTTTAAATATATTTGAGCTTAATGGTCTTCCATCTGAAGATAATCCGTACCTCTTTAATGGTGACTTTGTTGATAGAGGATCTTTTTCTGTTGAAGTCATATTGACTTTATTTGCTTTCAAATGCATGTCCCCATCAGGTAAATCACATGCCTTTGACGAATTGTTCTGGCACAGAGTTCAGTCTTTGTATGCAGAACCTACATTTTATGATTCCAATGAGCTGTTGTGTTGAATTTTATTGATTTTATTATACATTTCAGCAATGTATCTTGCTCGAGGAAATCATGAAAGCAAGAGCATGAACAAAATATATGGGTTTGAGGGAGAGGTCAGGTCCAAACTTAGTGAAAAGTTTGTTGAACTTTTTGCTGAAGTATTCTGCTGTTTGCCCTTGGCTCATGTGATAAACGAAAAGATCTTTGTTGTCCACGGAGGTCTTTTCAGTGTTGATGGTGTTAAGCTCGCTGATATTAGGGCTATTGACCGGTTTTGTGAGCCACCAGAAGAGGGTAGGTTTCTCTCTTGACCTTTTCACGTGCAAAAAAAAAGTGCATCAATGCTTTCTTCTTGGCCCATCATTGTCAATACCCATATATTTGCCAAAACATAAGATATTACTATCTTTTTAAAACCGCTGCACTGTTGCAGCCTATTTATTAGTTGGAAGATCAATACAGATTTCAATGACCAATGTTGTGGCATGTGTTTCAATCATTGGACATATACTTCCAAACGCCTAAATGCCATCATTGTCAATACCCATATATTTGCCAAAACATAAGATATTACTATCTTTTTAAAACCGCTGCACTGTTGCAGCCTATTTATTAGTTGGAAGATCAATACAGATTTCAATGACCAATGTTGTGGCATGTGTTTCAATCATTGGACATATACTTCCAAACGCCTAAATGCCATGGCTAAATCTAGTGCAAGGTTGTTTATATTCAATTGCAATGTATTCTTGACTGGTTGTGCCTTCAGGATTGATGTGTGAGCTGCTGTGGAGTGATCCACAACCTCAACCTGGAAGAGGTCCTAGTAAACGAGGTGTAGGCCTTGCATTTGGTGGGGATGTAACAAAAAGATTTTTGGAAGATAATAATCTTGGTATGTCTCTATTCCTCTCCTCCCATATTTGCTTTATTGGCTGAATGTGTGCTTTTATGTTTTATCATCATATGTTTCCCTTCGAGCTTTTACATATACACAACCAGCCGTGATTAGCTGAATTATATATTAGTTTATGATTCAGAAGGTAATTTTTTTATTGTACTAATATCAGACTTAGTTGTGCGGTCCCATGAAGTAAAAGACAAAGGCTATGAAATTGACCATGATGGTAAACTCATCACGGTCTTCTCTGCTCCTAACTACTGTGATCAGGTAACTTGCTCGATAGTTATCACTTTTTTAGCATTGTTTTTTTTTGGGGGGGGGGGGGTGCGGTGACTATTTTCCTAAAATGTGGCTGGTATGCGTGACACAGATGGGTAACGAAGGAGCTTTTATCCGCTTTGAATCCCCTGCTCTCAAGCCAAATATTGTTACATTCTCAGCAGTGGTGAGTGATATTATTACCAATCTATTGAAAATCCTCTGCTTCTCTAGTAATTTTGCTCATTTATATACATCTGAAATTTCAGCCGCACCCTGAGGTCATGCCGATGGCCTATGCCAACAACTTCCTTAGAATGTTCTCATAGCAGGTCCCTGATCGGATTATGCAAGTTTTTGGTCATCTTATAGAACAGAGCAAGAAAAGAACTCATGCTTCTATAGATGATATTTGTACTGTGGATTTATTGGACTGCCTGTAAGAATACTTAATTAGCTTTGTTTGTTTAGTTAGGTGGTGTTCCGTAGGCAGCCAGGCACACTTTTTTTTAATGTTTTTTTTTAAAAATTTGTTTTGTAGGCAGCTCATTGCCATGTATGCTGTAAGGTTGTCTTGTTTCTATTACGTTTATTTTTGCAAATTCAATTTAGTTCACGAATTATTTTCTTTCTCTTGTTTGAGACAAAATGGATTAACCCAAATTACTGTGCTAATCAACAAGGTTGCGTTTACTTATATGCGATTCATATCAGTTTACAAATTATTTTCTTTTTCTTAGTTAGGGACCTCAAACTTCTGGCATTATTGATTATACGACCTTAGATTCGCGGACTAGAGTAGTCGGGTATGCTTTTGGCATGGTGGTTGTTTTTGCGCTTATCGCCTTCTTTCCTGGGTGCTTTTTGCTTTTTCAATTTCGTTAACCTTAGTTCGCTTTTTTCTTCTTTTTTCCGTACTCTGTGCTTTATGTGCATTCAATGATGCTCTATATGTTGCATGTGTTACTCGAGATGGGGCTTTTGGAACCATCCTCCCCACTTTCAAATAGGAGTAAGGGATCGAACATGGTTATTGTTGTATTGTTGTTTCTCAAGTGTGAGACAATATGGATAATGCAAATTACTTTGCTAATTAGTACTCCCTCCGTCCCATAATATAGTGCCTATTTTGACTTTAGGTCATATTTAAGAAATGAAAAAAATGGTATTGACCTTCCAAAAATGCCCCTACACCAGCTCCTCACCCTATTCTCTCATATACACATCAAATATAGACCATACAAACAATGAAACATCCATGAACAACTCTCAAAATTACATTCGTCCAAATTGCATCAAAACATTCTTTCAAAAAATTGAAGCAAAAAAAATACGGAGTAATAGTAGTAGCTTAAACAACATTGGCAACAGAAGTACATCATTCAAGATCTGAAATTTCATCACCCATTCCGTAGATCTTCAAGTCTAACATGAACACAAGACCCAAAACTCTTCAAGATCTGGAAATTTATGAAGGCCACAAATTAACATACGAAAATAGAAAAAATATTTGTTGATGAAACCATCAAAACACAATCTAAATAACGAAAAAAACCCTATATCTTAAATGAACATAAGATCGAAATAATAAAATCAAGGAATACTCAAACAACATACCTGGACGGAGGACGAAACACACCCCGATGAAACCAAAATCTAAAAAACAAACCTGGACAAAATCAAAATTGAAAAAACATACCTGGTTGGAATCCAAAAATTATAATCAGGTGAGAAAAGGGGAGAAGAGTAATGAACCACGCGTTGACGGTGGGCGATTGAATTGAGGAGAAGATGAGTGTGAAAAGAGATAGAGGAAGGCCATTGATAGAAGGATGCGTAAAAAAAGTAGTGGAAGAGGGATAATGGATGGTGGGAGTAAAAGTAGTACGGCGGAAGAGAGATAATGGATGGTGGGAGTGAATGGGCGAGGAGATAAGATTGAGATAAGGGAAGGGTAGTTTAGAGATTTTACTTGTAAAAACTTACTAAAATAGGAAACAGGCATATCATTTTGGGACGGACGAAAAAGGAAAACAGGCATTATAATTTGGGAGGGAGGGAGTATATTACTTCAAAATAATCTATCTTCCCATCTTGCACTGCTCAGTGCTCACTGCTTCCTGTCCTTAATTTGAATGTCTCACTTATTTTCTTGTCTGTACTAAGACCCCCACCCATCATTTCACTGTCTGCCTACTTTGTTTGAGTGGAAAGAATACTTTCCCAGGGTCCCCCACCCCCACTCCCACCCAAGAGTGTGTACTACCTGTATGAATTTATAGACATTGCGCCAATTCAATGTGAATACGTGCACATTTATCAGGTACGGAGTATCAATTTTAGATTCTAAAACGAGTACTTTTTATTGTTCTCTTGGTTTAAACTCTCCGTTTTGGTTTATGATTTTTGACTTAATTTATTTTTTATTTAATTTATTTGAGAATTGGGGTAAACCTAAAAAATAAAATTTATATATTTTAAAATTATATTAGAGGTAATACTCTATAGAAACTAAGAGAAAATATGATTATATTATTTTATTAAATTAGTAACAAAAATTGGTAAAGAAAGTAAATGAAGTGATTTTGTGTGTAGGAAACAAACAGTAAGGACTTGTTTTCTTCACCAGATATGATTGATTTTGATTTGATTAAATGAAGTTCGGATCTTATCTAGTTTGATCTGATTCTAGTTGTATTTAAATTTATTTTTATTCAAGTTTGGTTTGATTTAATCTCAATATGAACAAGTTGTAGAGAAAAAACTCTATTTTTTACGTTGACACCAGTTGACAGTGCTCATTTGTGGCTGACATTGCACATTTGCCTACGGTAATTCATTTGGGAAATTAATGATCATTACTTCTAAACCCTCTACTCACCCATCTGAACCTTGACCCACACCCTAGTCCTTCATGTTTGTTGTTTGCCAATAATAAATATTGTTGCCAATTACGGAGTACTACGTAACAAATAGGGGGGCTCTGGGCAAAGTTTAGATTCGAAGGTAGCTAGAAACCATTAATTTTTCATACATAATACCGTAAAGACCGAGTGCACATCAGTGTCAACAATGTCAACGTAAGGCGGTGTTATATGAGTTATATTTATTTAGGTTTTGTCCATTTTCAAATAAAATTTATATTTCTCAACTTTCCTTTTGAGGAATAGACTATGTAGTTCTAAATAATTGTCTCTTCCAAATAGGTTCTAAATTCATACGAGAATTTTTTTCATCTTTCAATATTTTTAATGCTCGGGGAAATTGAAATATGGATTTAATTTGGTGATGGCTTTTATTTATCTCAAGGAGTAGTTGAAATAGACGCCAACAATGCTCAAGTACCCACTATAGCACCATTTGAAATAAATGAAAATGATACTGCTAACATTACTCATTGGATAACTCGTTATTTTGACAACAATCCTTAGTGACATACTCCGTATATCATATATTGAGCCATTTAGGGTACTATAGTGTTCATTTTCTTTGGAATTGGAATATTGGACCATACCCTTAACCCTCTCCACACATCCAACACCTTGCCCTTAGGTCATTCACAAAGAGGGAGGGAGGTTACCGCCGCGCCACAGGAAGGTGCATGGCACGCGACATTTCCAAATTCTAAATTATGTTATACTATATTCCCAAAATATTTTGGAATTTGAGATGTAAAATGGACAAGGACATAACTTAAGACCTCAGAATTATGTCACAAGTAGTAGAAATTAAGACTAGGAAGGTTAGAAATTCCCACAGATTTTTCATAGTCTGATAGTTGGCTTTCTTTTTGCAAGGCTCAATACATATAATCATTTTATGTATTAAGGTTCATAAAATGAACATGGATCTAAAGATCATAAAAGAATCTTCCTGGTATGAATAAATTAATGTTTAAAAAGACATAAAATTTATTATGTTTTGTAATTGTTGTTATTAAGCTTCCGCAACGTTAAATTACTCTGTTATTATTCCGAATAATTTATTATGAAATAAAATTTTAAAATGTTGAAATATTTTGAATGTTTACGAATACCAACTTTATATTTTAGTCCGAAAGGGACTGCAGACCTGGACGGATTAGGATGTTACAATTTGTTTTATTTACCTGCGTCTAGCAAATAAAACATACTACACGATCAGTGTTGAAGCTGAGTAAGGGTATTTAATGCCTCGAACATCCACATAAATTGAATCTCAATTCATAATTAAATAATTTGATATCATGCACATAATACTCGTTTTAATTTTTCGCAATTCATATTGTCAACAATGCTCATGAACTATTATTAGTCTAAGACTATATCATAACAATGTTCTTAAACTATTCTTAGTTTAAGACCAAATTCATATTTTCTTTAATCGGGCTTTTATACTATATCTAGTTTAAGGCTATATCATTTTATGAACTAGACTCTTAAGCTATAGTTAGTTTAAGGCTATTTTGTTTGATTAACTAAACTCTTAAACTATAATTAGTTTAAGGCAACTAATAACCCGACTCTTAAATTATAATTAGTTTAAGACAAAAAGATAATCAGACTCTTAAACTATAAATAGTTTAAGGTAGAAATGTAATACCCCGTATTAAGTTGGGAATGGGAAGAGCTCAAAAGGATTGATAGTACTACTCATATCAACAAGGTGCATCTTCTTTCCGAGAACTCATCACCTAGAAACTCCAAAGTTAAGCGTGCTTGACCAAAAGCAATTCTAGGATGGTTGACCCCCTGAGAACTTTCCTTAGGCGCGCACGAGTGAGGATAAAGTGCGCGGGAAAGACTTGTGTTGGTTTGTTGGGCCAGTCAATAATCCTATGAGCAGACACTTACGGCCAGGGTGGGGGCTAGGGTATTACAAATGGTATCAGAGCAACCATGTGACTCTGACAGGCCAAGAGAGCTTAGTGCACCTAGCGAGGAAGATCTAAGGGTTTAAAAAGGGATACAATGAGGATGTTGCATTCCTAAGTTGGGGGTACGTGAATGTAATACCCCGTATTATGTTGGGAATGAGTAGAGCTTAAAAGGATTGATGGTACTACTCATATCAACAAGGTGCATCTTCTTTTCGAGAGTTCATCACCTAGAAACTCCAAAGTGAGGACAAAGTGCGCGGGAAAGACTTGTGTTGGTTTGTGGGCCAGTCTACAATCCTATGAGCAGACACTTACGGCCATGGTGGGGGCCAGGGTGTTACAAGAAAACAGAATAACGGACTACTCATCGTCGGGTTGGGTGGTACCCCCAAATGAATATATACTCAAGTTTGGTTTATGGATCTCGTACGTACGAGATCTATTTTTTTAATCAATGTATCTAACTAGATTGATCATATGAGATCTATTTTTTTAATCAAGGTTCAATCATCATACTATTTAATAATAAATAGCGGTCTAGCATCGATTGTTAACCCCCTAGCTTACCGTAATGCATCAAATAAACTTCTTGAATTTATTAAAATATCATACTTAGTTTAGAAATGATATTCATACTAATTTATAGTTGTATGGTATCAAAAATATGATTTTACATATCAAAAATGTGAAATTTGCACTAAATAGGACTAAAACATAACTTATTTCCCAATGTAGGACTTGAACTTTTTTATTCCCTAAATAGAACTTAATAATGTCTAGTGAGAAGAATAATGTCCAAGTGATGTTGGACATTTAGTTGAATAATGACTAATAGATAATGACCAATGATCCTACATTGGGAAATAAAAATATATGGTCCTATATTGAGAAAGTCATTATTTTTAATCCTATTTAGGTAAATTACCCATCAAAAATCAAGTTTGTGGAATAATCATCGGATCAAGTAGTACTTGTCACGATACCGGTGAACGGTACCTTAGTACTGCCCAGACGGTACTGGGTACCGCCTGATATTAGATTCCACCAGAGCCGGTTGGCTTGTAGAGGTAGTTGGCTACCGTCTCAACAGTACCATGCTACCGTCTGGCAGTAGGTTGCTACTGTTACTGTACTTGGTTTGAAATTAAGCACAGTACTTCGTCTTCAACCTCGGTTCAATTTTTGAAAACATCATTTTAAACCACCAAATTTCAATTAAACTATATAGAAATGTTCTCCAACGTTCAAAAATTATTTTGGTATCATTAGTTCGAAGTTTTAACAACAATTCAAAGGTTTATGATTTTTGGTTCTTCAAGCATGTCAAACATAAAACTCAACCAAACAATCATTTATGAACGTAGAAACGATCTGTATGAACATTCTAATCACTAGATATATCTAAGGACTTACCTTGGACTATAATGAAGATTTTGGAAATTTTCTGGCGAAACTTTTGGCGACCTCTCACTTTATAGACAACACCGTAGCACTCATCCCATTCCAAGGGACAAAATAGGAGAAAGAAATGAAGGAATTGGTGAAGAATGGAGAGAGTTGTGGCATGCTTATATAGGAGAAGATGAGAAGCTTCCAAGGCCTTCAACTTTTGCGATCGGTGAATTAACGTTGGTGGAGGGAGCGGCGATGCACTACAATATTTTACGTCTCTCCTTGATTGTGACAAATTTTGGTCTCAATCGGGGTACACTTTACGGTCAAACTTTGTTCGAATTAAAATCGAATTATACCATTGTGATGAGATAGTTAGACTCTACACAATGATATAATTTTTATATTTATTTGTAATACATTTTCTAACACCTTATTTTTGGATGTTTGACTTTGATAGAGTCAAAATTGATTTAATTAATCTTTTATTCAAAAGATCTCTTATTCAATTCATATCATTTAATCTAATGATTTATTTCAATAAATCATTTAAGAATTCACATCAATCATACAATCTGCATAGGTGTGTACTCTGGTCTCTAATCAAGACCACACATATTCAATATGCATATTTTATTCAGAATAAATTTGTCTCATTGAATAATAATTCAATAATATTTTTAAAGTGTATTTTGAGGCGTTACACGCCTGAGTGGTTTCTTGAAGGGTATCTTGATCGCTCGAAGAGCTTCCCTACAGTGCCATGCTACTCGGTTGGTTGACGGAAAGTCACCCGGGTGGACACGACTCGGGTCATGGCCTTGAAGAAGTACACCCATCAATGTCAACAAGTTATAAGTGCTAATACCTTTAAGAACGATTTTTAAAATAAAATGTTTTGTAAGACTTAATGAAAAACATTATAGGGACTAAAAACAAGAGTTACGTAAGTTAGAGAAATTAAAAACATATTTAATTCTTTAGTTTTTATAGTAATTTTTTACTTTCTTGTATTTAGTATTACTGTATTTTTTTCAATGAATGTATTTTTTCTTTTTTTTGCAATTGAATGTGTTACCCTGCAATTTTTAGTATGAAAGTTGTATTTTTTTTTCTTTCAAAAAAAGTTATTGTTGTGTATAGCGTTATAAAACATTCAAATAATTTTGATTGATTCATGATTCGTATTTAAAATCAATGATTCGTATTCAAAACAATGAATACGAATAAGAATATAAATATTTATTAGAATTTGAAAGAAAACAAATACGAATACGATTGTATACGAATTCGATTCGATGTGTTAACGAATCTATTCGAATAGAAATATAAAAATTTATATCCAATATAGTGTTTTATAATAAATATAGATTACTCCGCATTTTGTTTTTTTTTTGTTTTTTAATGTCGCACTTTGTACGTAGTTGATACTTGATATTACACATTTAGCTTTTGCGCACCATATAGAAAAAGAAGTATTTAAATAATTTTAAATCAATGTGTAAATGTGAATTAAAATATGGAGTAATGTATAAGAATGCCCAATACCATAATTCCATACTCCATAAAAATCAATCACTAGTTCACTACTAAAGTAGTACAACTTGTCATTTCTTTTTATTTTTCAGCAAAAGCACTTCGATTAGTGGCCATGCAGTTGAGCAGCATTCCCGTCCTCTCATAGATCCTTAAAATTTGAAATTATAAAGCGTAAAAAACTCAAAATTTATATTTTATAACAGAATGCGAATACGAATCGAATATTTGAATTTAATATCGAATTGAATATGAATAGAAATAATTATTGGAATAAAAAAAACTACTCCGTAATATAAATATCAATAATGATACTCCCAACGCCACATTTTGATTTACAATTTTTTTTCTTCTCGATAACTTTTGTTTATTTACCCGATTTCATTAAGTATTTGATAAAATAAAATATTTTTATCACTTCTTGTTTTGTAGAACTTTTGACATAAATTTTTAATATGTAATTTTTAATTCTTATTGATAAACCCATTTATAAATAAAATGATTCCAAAAAGTAATATATTTTTTCTCGTAAACTCTAATTTGTAATCAAATTGAAGACGGAGGTAGACCTGGCAAAAAATGACCCGACCTGTTTTTGACCCGAAACCCGATCTGAAAACACTGGGTTTTGAACAAAGGTTTTGATGACCGAAGCCGAAGTTGACCGAACCCGAAATGACCCGCTAAAAATGGGTCAAACCCGACCGAACCCGAACCCGACCTGACCGACCCGCTAAAGTAAGAGTTTTTTAAAATTATACACTTTACTACTCATTCTTAATGTATAAATTTATATTTTCTGACAAAATTTTAATGATATTACATAATTATCTTACTTTTTTTTCTAAAACTTAAGCATTTTTTAAATTCCTTATATTGATTTGTATATCTAGAAATATTTTCAGGATTCAAAATAGAATAATCTAATAGATTTAATACATATTTTTTTATATTTTAAATTTATTTAATAGAAAAGGTAAGTGTTAATATGAATTTTAAAATTTAAAAAACCAAAGCCATAACTCGTTAGGTTGACCCGAACCCGATGACACTGGGTCATGAACATAATATTTTCAACCCAAATCCGAATTGACCCGAACCCGAAATAACCCGAATTCAAAGTGACCAAACCCGAACCCGATCTGACCGACCGTTTTGTCAGCTCTAGACGGAGGGGTATGATTTTTCAAATACAAATAAAATTTCAAATATCGCCGGTGGCTCAGCAGGACAAAAACATGCACACAGTTCTCCTCGACTGTCATCTCTAATTTCAAGGCCCTGCGCTGCCGCAGAACAGATTCCAAAAAAAAAAAAAACACAAAATGTGCCGCCACTGTTCACTCCCACATTCTCTCCTCCTCCTCCTCCTCCTCCCCCCAATCTTCTTCTCATCCCCTTCAGCCTCTTCCCCGGCCGCCACCAATCACCGTCCTCACCCACCAAACACGACGGATGACGGCGGCGATCCCCGTCACGAGCTCCAGCTCCTGTTCAATATCATGGACTCCCTCTCCTCCGACTCCAACTGGAGAATCTCCCACCCCAACCCCTGTTCTTCTCCCCCTTCCTCTTCCTGGACCGGGATCGAATGCAAATCCGGCCACGTCACCCGTCTTGACTTCGGAACCCGCCCGAACCCGACTTGCAAAACCGCAGCCACTTTCCCTCCCGAGATCTTCCTCCTCCCTCACCTCCAATCCCTCTTTTTCCTCCGCTGTTTCACCCGAAACCCGACCCGAATCCTTCTCCCGAATTCCGGCGACAAGATCATCAGTCCCCTGCAACAGTTGAGCCTCCGGTCGAATCCCGCGCTCGCCGGCCCCGTCCCTCCCCAAATCTCTTCCCTGAAATCCCTTCGGATCCTCACACTCTCCCAGAACGGCCTGACCGGCCGGATTCCGCCGCCAATCTTCTCCCTCGCCGCTCTCCTTCACCTCGACTTGAGCTACAACTTCTTCTCCGGGCCCATTCCTACTGAACTGGGGAACCTGAGGAGCCTCGTCGGTCTTGATCTGAGCTACAATAAACTCTGGGGTTCGATCCCGGAGACCGTCGGGCGTCTCGGGATGCTCCAGAAGATCGATTTGAGCTCGAATGAGCTCACCGGGAGCATCCCTAGATCCATTCAAGAACTGCACTCTCTGGTTTTCATAGCTCTGAGCAATAACAGACTCTCCGGGAAGTTCCCGGAGGGGCTCTGGAGATTGCAGGGGCTACAGTACTTCATCATGGACGACAATCCCATGTTCGTCTCGCTCCCGGCGGAGTTCGGGAAGCTCCAGAGGCTCCAAGAACTGAGACTGGCCAATTCCGGGTACTCCGGCTCCATACCCACAGCCTATTCCCAGCTCAACAACTTGACCACACTGTCACTCCAGAACAACCGGCTGGGCGGCGAGATTCCGCCGGAATTGGCGAATCTGTCGCACATATACCACCTGAATCTGAGCAGAAACATGCTGGGCGGGGTTGTCCCTTTCAATTCCAGTTTTTTGAAGAGGCTGGGGAGGAATTTGGATCTCAGTGGGAATGCAGGGCTGTGCTTCAGCTCATCATCTTCAGGGTACGAAAATGGAGTCTTCTCTGGAATCGGCATTTGCGGGAGGAACAAAACTGGGTTCAACTTGTTGAAGAAATCCGGTGATTCGTCGGAGTTGAGAAAACCGTTCTTTTCCATTGCTGGTTTCGGTATTGTTTTAGGAATGCTTCATTTCTTCTTGTTTGTTTATTACTGATTATTGAATGATTCTTTCACTAATATTTTCTCTGTTTTTCTTCTTCTAATCCTTCTTAATATTACTCCTGGTGGTTTTTTATCTGCTGGTTTTGGTGTTTTTTTTCGGGGGGGTCGTGTTCTTGATTGTTTGGGACTAAACACTGTTTAAATTGGAATCATTTCCACAATTGGGTGAAGCATTGTCCTAATTATTTGGGCAACTTTGGGATTTGGAATAATGTCTACCCAGAAACCAATACGGTATTGGCGCTAATACTGTGCGTGCGTAATGATTGGCTGATATCACCAATTTTCGAGATGTAACTAACAGCAATCAATTAAGGAGAAAAATCAAAGTAAAACTATAACATTAAAATTATACCAAAATAGGATTTTCATATTTTTATTCTTGAAATAAGACTTAAAATGCATTCACATTACAAAACATGGTCATGCGCATTACCAAAAAGTATGGTAATGTGCACATGTACAGTGCTACATTACAACCACGTTATCATAGTGTGAAGTCTTATTTTGGAAAAAAAACATGAAAGTCTTATTTTAACACTTTTTTCTATGTGTTAGTCTTATTTAGGCTATTTAGGGTGATTTTTACATGAAGGCACTGTGGTAGTCCCTTCCTCCATCCGTAAATATTCTTTCAATATTGACTTGACACGCTTATTAAAGAATACTAAAAAAGTGCTAAATTTCTAAAAATGTACATATTATAAACTTTTAAATCTCATTTTCTTATTAAAAAATAGATTAGTGATAAAATAGATAGGTATTATTGAAATTTATTCTTAAAAAATATATTAAAAAGAAAATGGAAAAAATATTTTCGAACGGGCCGAAAAATGAAAATTGAGAAGAATATTTTCGGACGGAGGGAGTAAATACTTGGCGTTGTGGTTCGCTGATCCCAATTGGGATAATGATTGGGAATTGAACCGAATGAAATTAGTAAAATGAAATTAGTCTTTAGATACAGTGTTCAATGATATATTCCTAATCAATCTTATATTTGTAATTTGCATTTGCAATAAATAGTAGAGTGAATGAGTGATACACCAGAGCATAATATAGTCATACCACCGACTTGTTTTGTTAGATTTTTATTTAATTTTTAAACATGTTTTCTAATTCTACAATTATAATGAAATGGCGTGTAAATTCACTATATTAAATTGGGAAAAAAATCTCAATCAAACTTAGAAAACCACAATAAAACGTTCATTTCCGGGCCGGAGAGTATTTTTTACAGGAGTCAACGGGCAAATGGGTGGAGTAATTTTTTTAAAATTTCAAACTATTCATCAAAAGATTCAAATGTGAAAAGTCCCTCTCCTCAAATGCATTCCCCACAATAAGATGTGTCCCCTCCACTCCACATTATTAAATGCATACACCCATCGCTTCTTTCCTCTTTTAAATATTGACCACCACTGTTGGTTTACATGGCTGTAGCCTCTAGTACGCCCTGTACAATTCAAGGACCAACTATATAATACTCCTCCTTAATTCATTGTATTATTGAAATTTAACAAAAGTATTAAAAGTAAAAATTAAACGGTTAAAATTTGTTTAGAAGTAAAAATAATGGGCCATATATTTTTACTTAATTAGGTAAGTAAAGAAGTAGGCCAATTATTTTAAGACAAACTAACAAAAAAAGTAGGATGATTAATTCAAGATAGAAAGAATATATGCCCATGAAATTCGTAGTACGGAGTGCTGCCTCCTTTTCGAGTTAAAGTTCGACATTTAATCTGATCAAACACGATTATTTAGAAATAGTGATTTCAGTATCATCGGTTATTTTGTACAATAAGATTTACTTATTAGATCAGTTGAAAATTTTAATAGGCGTTGTTAATGAATTGGGTGGTGCGGAGTGCACGTTCCTTCAACGATATTATAAATTCCATAGCAAGGTCCAAAGGGCAGGATACGTATTTGCCTTATGAAAATCTTTTAGATTTTCGTAAACAGAGTCAAAATCATGAAACATTCGAGAGTAAGAATCAACACATTCTAATATAAAGGTTATCGCCAACAACCTTTACAAAACCGCACGTAACATTATAATGTTTAGTAGCAAACGTTCGAATGTTTCGTGATAAATTCGCGCAAAAAACCGCTGAAATGATATGTTTAACAATAACTATTGCAAACGTTCGAATGTTCTGGCTAAACATGTGAATGTTCAAGGCAAAGTTATGTTGTTTCATACTCCATCTGTCCCAAATTAAATTTTCTGTCTATTATTCACAGGGTCAAACTTCAATCACTTTCTTTCTCTATTCTTGTTAATCATTTGATAAAATAATATAGTCATGTCATCACTAGTTTTGTAGATCGTTTAATGTAGTATTTTAACTTGTAATTTTTATTTTTTAATTCTACACCATTTTTCATATAAAACGATTTGAAAATAATTTCGGTCAAATGTCGTAAACTGGAACAAGCAATGTAAATTAGGATTGAGTAATAAAGAGGCGCGTCCGATCAGTTTGTGCTCTATAAATATGGAGTCTCATGGTATGTTTGAATAACGACAAATCTTCAAAACTCGTTCTAGATATTAACATATTATCTGATTGAAGTACTTCAATATATCCTAAAATAGCTTTAATCTAAAAGCAATCACGTAATTCATTTAGTCTATCAGATTTCTTCACGTTCCCTCGTATACCATTCTTCATAACGCTGCTATGCAGCATTATAGCCCCTCCTATATTTCTAACAAATATAGAATTTCATTGTTGAGTTTTATGTGCAAAAGATAAATTATATAGAGTATTATATACACATATATAGAGAAAGTTAGAAAGAGAAAAAGTGAAAAACAAAAAAATGTGAGAAAACTTGTGTTATTTTGGACATAATAGTTAGAGCTTTAGTTGATAAAATTTTAAACAGATATACAAGAAAAACTCAAAATAATGACACTCCATATTTTCATAAATACTCAATATGCGTCTTTGGATCTCTTTTAGTCGTTTTGATGTTAACGAATAATAAAAGAACAATAATTTATTACAAGTTTTTTAATACATCTAAAAATCTACTTCGAATTGTATAGACCGCACTCACCAAGCTAAGCACCGATTACCCACACCAGGCAATCTCGACCGATCCAAATCCACGAAGATCCCTACTAGGGGTGTACCCCAAATATACATCACCCCTCTATTACCACATGTTTTGGCATGTAAAATAAAACAAAAATACTAGGGGTACACTAAAAGTATATCCCAAATGTACACCACCTCCTCTTATGTGTGTGTGGCTCACGTCCGTGTAACAACTCTCGACTGAATCATCGTAAAATATTACACCAATCACAATAAAACATCTTCTAATGTGTTGACAAATCTACTTACGAATGACTTCTAACTTGAAATAATTTTGTTTGAGTCTTTCCCCTAGCCCTAGGCGTGTTACACTTTTTCAAGTTATACTTCAAGAACGTGCTCGTAGCCCTTCTCTAGATCAGCAATGTACTCAATTTTTGAACTAGATGACGAACATGAACATCACCAGTTGTGAATGAGTTCACCGTTCAGCTCCAAGATTTCTAAGAGAAACAGAGCTTCAAATCATCACGGAAAGATATGGATTAATGGCGTGCCTTCTTTCATTGTGTGTATGATGAACTCTCGTAAAGGTATGCAACCTCTAGGATCTCTCGTGTATAATTCTTTTTTGATCGTGAGATTTGATGGTATATATGACCACGTACTTTCTAGGCGGGATAGTTGAGAAGGAAAAAAAATGGACTAGTACGTGGTACTTCTAACCAAAATAAAGAATACAATGGTATAATGCATAAAGAACTCCTAAAAAATGCTCCTGTGCACTATAAATATTTGGTCCTTAGCCAGGAGTTCCCTACACAATCCCATATGCCTATATACAGTCATTAATTGATTGGCATTTTGTAATCTCTTGCCTAGTGTACCTTGTTAAACCTGACTTTTTACAAGTGCAACCGTTTCTTCCTTGCTCTCAGATGAGACATTAGAGCAGGTCCTCGTCCCATTTGTGCCCACACTGGGGCTCTGCCAAAAGTGCCTCCTCATCGACCTGAATTGCAGATCAATGGAGGAGGAACTTGGGCCTGAAAGCAGGTCCTCAACAAGGGTATGTCCTTGCAGCATGCTCACCACTTGAGACATTTTAGGCCTCAGCGTTGGGGATGCGTTCGTACATAGGAGTGCTATTTTTAGCACTAACATCACCTCTTCCGGTTCGTAGTTAGAGCCCAACTCCGGATCCACTAGCTCAAGTATGTTGCCCCTCTCTTGTAAAACATAGGCCTAGTTGAAGCAGAAGGCGTCTAATGTCATTGAACTTGAAGTATTGAATAAAAGAACGGCAAGGTTCATGTGACATTGGCTTTCAATGTCATAGCATGACCCAGGCTTCCTACAATGCTCCGTTCATAAATTTGATGGTTTCTACCCCCCTAATCCTCCTGCACCCCTAGTGCCCACCCCCCCTCCCCGCCTCTCCTTTGACGATTGGCTTCAGTGGTCACTATAGCCAATCGGCGAAGGGAGGGGGGGGCTTGGGGGGTTTAGGGAGGTGGGAACCATACCGTACGGGACCCAGGTCATGCTATGACATTGAGTTGAATGTCATTTGAACCGTGCCGATAAAAGAAAACTACAAATTCTAGTTACCCAGTCTAGAAGATAGACAAATTCATCCTTGGGCCTGTAGCTGGTGTTGCTTTTGCCACTGACGATTTCAAGAGCAACGACCCCAAAGCTGTAGACATCTGCTTTGTTGGTTAGGTGGCCACGCATCGCATACTCAGGAGCCATATATCCTCTGCATAGGAAAAGTTAGACGATAATATTTTTGATGGATACTGATCTGGTAAGGCCACTCAATGGTATTAAATAAGCAATAGAGATTTTTTAAAAAAAAACCCCTTACACGGTCCCTGCAATCCGGGTGCTGATGTGGGTATTTTCGTCCTCGTGAAGTTTAGCGAGGCCAAAGTCAGATATTTTAACATTCAGGTTCTTGTCAAGCAAAATGTTACTGGTCTTGATGTCTCTATGAACTATCTTCAAGCATGATTCTTCATGAAGGTATGCCAATCCTTTAGCGATTCCCAAACAGATTTTGCTCCTTGTAGGCCAGTCTAATTTAATCTTGTTTGTACTATCTTTTCCTATCAACCAGAACACGCAAAGAAAGAAAACACACGTAATAATGCTTGGAAACGCCAACAAAATAGATGAGTTATGGAGAGGGGTATATTTAGTCTTACGAAATAGAGCGCGGGATACACAATTGTTTTCCATGTACTCATAGATTAGCATTAGTTGATTGCCTTCAACACAACACCCATATATTTTGACAAGATTTGGATGTTTCAATGCAGATATCATGCGTATTTCATTCAGAAATTCACTAGTTCCTTGCTTTGATTTTGATGATAACTTCTTCACGGCAACTGTTGTTCCATCTGATAATTGGCCCTGCATCATCAAATAAACACAGATTTTGTATATCAAAATTTGGCCAAGGGGCGTTTTGATAATGCTCAAACACTAGCATAAAGTGGCTGCAAGTCGTTTCTTCTTGATTTGAGCATTGGTTTTTGTAACTTTCTAGACAAAAACCACCCTCCCCAAAAACCCCACTAACAAAAAGTAGCTCCTTACCTTGTAAACTGAACCAAAACCACCCTCCCCAATCTTGTTTCCATCATCAAAGTTCTTTGTTGCAGCTTTGATCTGTCTTAAGGTGAAAATTCCAGCTTGTAAATCCAAGGCCCTAAGATCTGCCAAAACATTAACCGAAATTACAATAGAGTAAATTTTAAGTTCAGTAAGGTGCAATGCTCAATAATGCGTTTACCTCCCTCCTCAGATACTTTTCTTCGCTTTAAGAGCATCAAATAGACAATGCCTACTACCAAAAGTATCAAGGTCACAACTCCAGCAACAAGAATTCCAACTATTTCTCCAACAGGAATCTTTTTATCATCGTCCGGTGGTGTGAAATCTACAATAGAATTATCAATATTCCAAATCTAAGAATGTCACACGTTTAAAACAAAAAGGTACCAAAAAAGAAAAGAAACTTGCAAGATCATACTGGGGTCAACTGATATTGCAGCAATTAGAGGGCCATAAACTCCTCTTTCAGGTATTCCTGTTGTTCCTTTCCCACCCCAGTAAAAACGCATCTTCAGCGTCTCATTTGTTACGGCTACATTGAAAATCTTTACAATGGGTTTACCCGGTCCTCCTGCCTCTTTCTCAATGTTAAAATCCTTCACTACCAGGTTTTCCTAAACAAGAAGATGCACACGGCTTTATACTGATCATAATAATAATAATAATAATAATAATAATAATAATAATAATAATAATAATAATAATAATAAAATATTTCACTCTCTTGGCTTTTAATTTACCTGCAAGTAGATATCAAAGATACGCTTCCCGAGGCTAGTAAAAGAGCCATCATTTGTAAATATGATCTCCGCAAAATGGAGTCTGACAGTGTAATTTCCATTCATCATACACAATCCATAGTAAGTGAGAGAGAGGGGCGACCCACGTGCAGTCATATAGAGCTCAGAATCAAGAGTAGTGAGATTATGCAGGGCAGAGGTATTAGTATAAATATAGGAATCGCCAGTGACATCATTGTCCATGAAGTTTCCTGTGCTGCTAAATGCCCAGCTTGGTTTTGAATAGAACAATGAAGCACCCCGGTCATCTAAGTCGGCCTCATACATTGTACCATTGCTTATAATTGTGTCTTTGCCTCCACAATTAATGTGCAAGGAATAACTCTCTGCTTAAAGCTCAGAAAATACTAGTTAGTCAAAGTAATTGAGCCTAAACATGTATTTGTCAATTTTCAGCCTGTTTAGCAAAACCTTGTGGGGGAGTGCTTTTAATGGATCAGAAGCAATTTTACATGTGAAACATGATGTGCTTCTTTTTCCGAAAGTATTTTTGAGATTACTTAGGGTTTCCTTTACCAAATGTATTTTGGAGATAAATATGTATTTCTTCTGGAAATTCCAATAAAAATATTGTGTAACTGCAATGCCAAAGGTTACACTGTTGTTTGGTAGAAGAGCTTTTGGTATAAGAACTTCAAACAAAAAAATTGGATCTTAGTAATTTAAACAAAACACATCCAAACAAGGTGTACTTTTAAGTTTTTCAGAGTTCTTTTTCCATTTTCTTAATGATCCATGTTATTTTGCAGAAGATATGAAAAACGGAGCAGATGGTAGTTTTACTCACTCCGAGACCTCGGGTCAAAGCAAGGAAAGTTATGTTTGAGGCATGGATGAACTCTGGTCCTGGTGAGAGGATATATCAAATATTACAACACCGTCTCTATTAGCCTCAATGATAATATATATAAATAAAAAAATCTCTTTTGGAGCAGCTTAGTTCAATAAATGGAAGAAAAAAGTTGCTAGAAGAAGAAGATTCTTACACGTTTCCGAATGAGGAAAAGCCTTCCAGCAAGTTACTGGAGACAAGACATTATATAGATTGGGAAGTTTATTAATCCAAATGGCATGGAAAAAATAGAGGGAAATCATGAAATTTAGTCCTAACAAAGAACTTACACATTTCCACTAGGGCATTCCGTTGGGCCTGAGCTCTGTAATGAGAAGTTGTTGTAGGAAATATCTCTGCACCATAGAAGATACAGAGTAATATATTTCTGCAGCTAACTTTTTATTCACATTAGAAACTTGAACGTTGATGGCTAAATCAGAAATAAACATACTGAAGAAGAATTATTTTCTATATTGATTTTGTGGAGTCAAGCCCCGTATATATACAAAACATAAGTCTCCTAACTATGGTAGGATTATAAACAAGGAAACCCTATACAAAGGAAACTACCAAATATATGTAAAGATATTAAATATACAATATATTTAACATGCTGCCAACTACGTGACTGGCGAAGGGCGAATGCCGAAACTGTGCCTGAAATCGGAGAAGAGGAGAGAAGGTAGCCCTTTGGTGAATATGTCGGCGTACTGAGAGGAAGAGGGAACATGAAGAACACGGACCTGCCCCAGAGCAACCTTGTCCCTGACAAAGTGTATATCAACCTCTACATGTTTTGTGCGCTGGTGCTGAACCGGGTTGGTCGATAGGTACACGGCACTTACGTTGTCACAGAAGACTAGTGTGGTGCGGCGCAGAGGTTGCTGTAACTCGAGGAGGAGATTTCGGACCCAACTTGCCTCAGCTACGGCATTTGCAACTGCTCGATATTCGGCCTCAGCACTCGAACGTGATGTGGTGGCTTGTCTCTTGGAGGACCAAGAGATGAGGTTGTCGCCAAGGAACACACAATAGCCCGAGGTGGAACGACGAGTGTCGGGGCATCCTGCCCAATCAGCATCAGAGTATGCCTGCAAGGAATCTGTACACGTGCGATGGAGAGTGATCCCATGAGTGGTGGTGCCGTGCAAGTAGCGGAGGACACACTTCATGGCAGTGAGATGAGTGCTGCGGGGGGCATGAAGGTGGAGACATAGCTGCTGTACGGCATTGGTGAGATCCGGCCGTGTGAAAGTAAGGTAGTGTAATGCCCCAACAATGGACATGTATAAGGTAGGATCGGAAAGGGGTGTGCCAGAAGAAGCCCCGAGTTTTGCCTTTGTGTCAACTGGAGTGGAGATTGCCTTGCAGTTGAGCATGTCTGCACGTTCCAAAATCTCGTGAGCAAACTGAGTCTGATGAAGAAAGAGCCCATCTGGTGTACGCTGAACATTGATCCCGAGGAAGAAATTGAGATCACCCATATCTGTCATGGCGAATTCCCCCTTAAGCTGCTGAGTGAGACGCTGAAGTAAAGGGGATGAGGAGGCAGTGAGGACAATAGTGAGGACAATATCATCTACATAGAGCAACAGATATGCCATGTCATTCCCTCGGGTATAGACAAAGAGGGATGTATCGCTCTTGCAGCCACGGAAACCCAAGGTCAAGAGAAAGCCTGCAAAACGATGATACCAAGAACGGGGAGCCTGCTTAAGGCCATATAAGGCCTTCTTCAACCTGCAAACATAATGGGGTCTCGCAGGATCCTGAAAACCGGAAGGCTGACTGGCATAGACTGTCTCCTGAAGTGTGCCATGAAGGAAGGCATTCTTCACATCCAATTGATGAATCGACCACCCGCGTGAAAGTGCAAGGCTGAGGACAATACGAACTGTGGCCGGTTTGACAACCGGACTGAAAGTCTCCTCGTAGTCGATGCCGAAGCGCTGATTGAATCCACGGACCACCCATCGAGCTTTATACCTGGACAGATCACCTGTAGGGCCAAATTTGTGGCGGAAGAGCCACTTACCGGTAATAACATTTTGTGTGGGGGAGGGGGGTACAAGTTCCCATGTGTCGTTTTTAATCAAAGCATTAAATTCATCACACATAGCATCATACCAGTTTTGGTCCTTAAGAGCACTACGGTAGGTAGGGGGTAGTGGGGAGATTTGGGCGGTGGTGCTGAGGTCAAGAATATGTCTGGGACGGGTAATGCCTGCTTTGGATCGGGTGACCATGGGGTGGCTGGGTTGTGGGTCGTGGTTTGTGAGTGGGGCG